CTGGATTACCTCATCCAGACCTGCACAGTGCAGCTGCACCTGCTCACTGAGGACCCTGCCAACCAGCAATATCCTTTGGGAATGGCATGGGAAGGGGCTGGCTGGGTGAGGGCATGCAGTCCAGCTCCATGGGGAGCCCTGCTGCATTGCAGGGAGGGTGTTTCACAGCTTGTGTCTGTTCCTTGACCTGCCCCACCGCAGCCTATGTGACCTGCCAGGATCTGCGCAGCATTGTGGACCCCTCAGAGCAAATGGTGATGGTTATCAAAGCTCCCCCAGAGACACAGTTGCAGGTCTCAGACCCAGCGGAGGTGAGTTGGGGTCACTCCTACTCTCCACATTTTCACAGCCCTTAGGAAAGCCCAGCCCAGGCTCCCTGGGCATCCTTGCACCTCCTTGTCTCACTCCTCTCCCTGTCCCCAGGCTTTCCAGGTCTCCGTGCGAAGCACTCAGGGCCCCATCGACGTCTTCCTCTGCCCCGAGGACAGCTCAGGGGTCTGCAGCCCCGTCAAGAGCCCCTTCAAAGCCTCCACAGACGACTCCTCTCCCAGCCATTCACAGCCCAGAGCCTCCCCACTCCTGCATCCTGCCCAGGATATCAACATGCCACTGCTGCCTGGAGAGCAAGGTGGGACTGGGGACAAGGCTGCTGCTGTGATGCCACAGTGTCTCTGGCTGTGTTTGCAACCATCAGCCCTCTGCTTTCAACACAAGCAGGGAGCTGGGGTGATGCTTGTGCACCCCAGCAAGGTGTAGAGGTGGGGAGGCAGGTTCTGCATAGCCCAAACCTGCTTTTTGTGAGGTTTATTTGGCCAGTACAGTGGGATTTACAACTGTTTCCCATCCCCACAGAAGCACTGCTGCCAGGGACCAGCGCACTGCCTGGCAAGTGCCCAGGGGAGGACGTGAGCCTGTCGCCACTGGCTTCCATGGATGCCTTCCTGGAGCAGAGCAGAGAGGACTTTGCAGGTTTCTTGGCAGATGAGTTCATCAATTTGTCGCCGCCGCAGGCGCAGGACTACCACTTCGGGCTGGAGGAGGGAGAGGGCATCAGTGAGCTCTTCGACTGCAACTTTGGGGACTTCACCCCCTTGGACTTTTGAAGCTCTGCCTGGGTGCTTGGGAGAGCTGCCAGGCATGGGGGGCACCCTGGCAGGGTGGGCAGGGTAGGCAGCCCCTCTGGCTGCAGCACCCACTGCTCCTCTCCCATCCCTTCTTGCAATATTTTCTTATCCCTCCAGCCCCCCCAGCCCATTGGGGGCTGGTGGTGTCCCCAGCTCTAGCCCCACAAGGGGATGCCAGGGTGGTGCTCCCATCCCGGGGGATGGCCCCACAGGGCCCTGATCATGAGGGGAACTGCCCAGGGCAGAGCTGCTGCCCCCCAGGAGCCCATTTTAGAGCTTTAAGCAGTCCTGTGTATAGGTTAGATTAATTTATTATTGTCCCCTGGGGACAGCGTTATATTTCCATGGGGGTTTTGGGGGGGCTGTACAGCAGAGTGGGGGGTGCTGAGAGGTTTTGTTGTGCTGGGAGCGGGTGGTGGAGATGTGGGGGGTGCTGGGTCAGGGCTGTCCCCTCTGTGTGGGAGCTGCCTGCAGCCTGGCTCAGTGTGGGGTATTTATTTATTTGCGTGTGGGAGCACTCCCAGGACGCGGAGGTGGCAGGAGGGAGCGGGGGGGGGGACGACAGTGCTGGTGTGGGTGGGACATGGGGGCCTCACAGGGGCCTCACCAGCACATCCTGGCTTTGCTCTTGTCCAAAATGTGGCTGGCGAGGCCACAGCTGTGGCAGGTGGCTGTGGGAGGGGTGACGGGGCTGGTGGCCCCAGGACCATGTGCATATCGCCTTGAGGGGATACATAGTGTCCCAGGGAGTGCATCTCTGCAGGTGAGGACCCAACGCTGTCTCCAGGCTTTTCTTCCCCTCCTTGTGCAGCTGTTCAGCCTTTTGGCTCTGTCTCCCCCCTGGGGCAGCGAGGGGAGGAGAGGGGGCTCCAGGCCAGGCTGGAGATGCACTTTCACTTTTACTGCCATTTAACAGGCTTGTGTTCCTATTGAGCTTTGTGTTTAATAAAGATTTCTACTGATTCTCACCTTGTGGGTCATGCTGTGCTTAGGGCTGTTAAGAGGAGTGGAGACTCCACCTGAGAAACCAAGGAATTTGGGCTTATTTTGTGTGTGGGGGGGTTTCCATTGTGATCTTGAAGCGTGTGAACAGGTATCTCCATGCCTGGGGCTGCAGGAGGTGCTTTTGTCCTTGAGGTTGTTTTTCCTGCAACTCCACACACGCACTCTGCTGTCTGTGGGAGCTGGGGCTGATCCTTCCCCCCAGCTTCTCCAAAGAGGCTGTGCTGCATGGGGACATGGTGCTGGCTCTGGATGGGAATTGCTTTTCCCTTTGGCAGCCCCATCCTTCAGTAGCCCGTGAAGGTTCCTTTCCTGCCTGTCCCTCTCCCTGCTTTCCCCCTGATTTCATGGCATTTGCCTGGAAGTGCCCACAGCTGTGGCCCCAGCACACAGGGAGGAGTTTGGCAGCTTGCAGCCAGCATGAAACCAGGCTCCCAGTGACTTCCAGCTTCCCCCATTGGCCCCAGCACTTTTTAGTGCTGCCTGAAGGCACCTGCTGGCACTGGTTCCTGGCCCAAACTTTGAGGTCCCTATGTCCTTGCTCACTGGGGACACACTGGCTGCCAGCAGCAGCTCTGACCCTGAGTAGCCCAGTCACCTCTGCACCACCCCAGGACCGAAGAACATCAGGGACCCCTAGGGAGGGATGCTTGGAATTGCCAGAGACCCCCTGGCAGCCTGGAGTGGGCTCAGGGGGGCCATGACCCTCCTCCCCAGTGGCATGCAGGGACCTGCCACTATCTTAATGTGTTTGTGCAGTTGTGCCCCTCCTCCTGCTCGGCCTCCTGCCTGGTTTTCCTTTAAACAACCTGATAAATATTTCACCCTGATCAGCTTGTGTAAGCTCACCTGCTCCTGCGCTGGCAGGGAATGGGGCTCTGGACAGGCTGCTGATGGGTGCTGTGTGGCATCATCACTGCCTGGCCTTCACCTTCATCCTCCTGCCTCCATCCCAGCACGGGAGTGTGGTCCCTGGCTCGTTGTGCTGCCGCAGGATTGTTTTCACAGCACAATGCATGTGGATTGCAGTGTGCCAGTGTAGGGTGCCAAACCCCACAGCTCAGCTCTGTGCATTCTTCCCTTTCCCAGCCCTCCAGAGCTTGGCAGCAGAGCCAGCCAGGGTGGCCCTGGCACCTCCATACCCAGTGCCCAGAAGGGCAGAGACACAGCCTAACCCCTGTGCCTGAGCAGGAAGACCCAGTGCTTGCTGTCACACTGTCACCCCTTCAAATGGTTTTTTTTTTCAGGCTATTGAACTGCAAGGGCTCTTCCACTGCTCTGATCCATGAGGCTCCTACCCTACAGAGCCAGGGTAGGAGCATGGGGGACCAGGTTGGTGGGCATGGCCCCTGGTCCCTGCCTGCCACATACTTCATTTGATGTTTGTCACCTGAGGCAACAGCTACTGAAGGATATATGACTTCCTGCAGGGTGCCCAGCCTGGCCATATGCTGATGCCTCCTCATCCGTCCCTCCTGCTCCTCTCCCCTGTTTAGTTCCATTTTGGTGGGGGTAATGGTGATCTGCAATGCTGCACAAAGGGCAGAGATCTCTGGCACAGGGATTGGCTTTCATGAGATCCAACAGGCATGGGGTGAAGGGAAAGGACTCACATTGACATCCCGAGCTCTGCAGGGCTGTTCCCACGGCATAGCTTTTCCCCCTTCCCCTGAGCAAAGGCAGATCTCTGATGGCATTTGCCATCACATTCCCCTCATAGGGAACTTCCTGGGATGCTGAGCCCTTGGGAGTCTCAGCCCCCATGAGAGCAGCCCTCGGCAGGGGCAGTGCAGCCCATCCCTGGGGGTTGCATTGGCAGCTCCACGTGAGCCACAGCACCGTAAAAATAACCACTCTGCCTCCTGGGATGATTCATGATGCAGCTGAAGGGCTTCCCTCCTGCTATTTTGGATCACTGGAGAAGGAGCTGATGGTGGCTGGTTTGGAAGAATATGTAGCAGCTTTGGGAAGCAGCTCTAGGCACTGCCTGGTTTTACTTGCTCCACAGATGCTTTTTTTCATGGAGCAAAGCCATCCTGGTCCAGGAGATGAGCACCCTGCACACATCCTGTGTGGTCCCTTGCCTCCTTTGCACTCGCAACTCCTATTCCCAGGTAGTGTAACCCTGCAGGGACTGTGCCCATCCAGCCCTGAGGGTGCCTGGTGCTGTCAGGCTGTGGTAGTGACTCCTTCAGCACCAGCAAACACTGTGCAGGATGTGCCCGTGGTGCTGAGCCCAGGCAGCTGTGCAGTCTCCTGTGCCTGTGCTGTGGGGTTTGGACTTGGGGAAGTCAGGAGAGCCCTGCAGCAAGATGAGCTCTGAGACAGGCTGGCAGTGGCTGGAAGCAGCATTAGGTGCCCCCATATGTTTGCCAGAATCTGTATCTTTAAACTTCTGCCTGATATTTAGTCTAAATTTCCCTCTCAATTTCTCCCCATTCCTCCTTGTCCTGTGACTGCTGCTGCTAACCAAGAGTCCCTCTGCAGCTTCCCTGGAGTCCCTTCAGCTCCTGGCAGGTTGCTCTGAGGTCTCCACACAACCTTCTCTTCTCCAGGCTGCACAGCCCCAACTCTCTCAGCCTGTCCTCATAGGGAAGGTGCTCCAGTGCTCTGATCAGCTTCATGGCCTCCTCTGGCCTTGCTCCAAT